TTTTTTTTTTTTTTTTTTTTTTTTTTTTTTTTTTTTTTTTTGTAGAATGGTTTGAAAGAAGAATATTAGCTATCTGCCTTTGATATTCAGGTATTAATTTATAGCTTTCTTGCCAAGGACTTTGTGTTTTGCATGTCTATAGATACTAAGAGGAGATTGTCTCTTTAGTTTCGGTCTTGTACATTCTTTGTCATAATAGTGGTTATCTCTACATGTTTCATAGATCGTTTTCTAGTAAGTTAAAATGTTATGTAATTTTATTATTGAAGATGTCAATTGGCCTGTTATCCATCTTTGGTGTGTCTAGAATATACTAACGTTTGTGTTAATCTAAATTGTGTCACCTACTTCATTACTACTTATAAACGTTAGGAAGTTTTGTTAACGGCATTAGTTTCTGGGAAATTAAGGTGTCTGTTTGTATTGATAGCTGATATTATATGGGCATTGGCAAAAACTATTGTCATAACCTTCTCTTAGTTTACCGAGATCATGAACTATATTTTTCATTTCTATTAGACTAGCTGACTGTCTATTTTTTCTTTTCAAGGTAAGAGTGTAACACACAAACTTAACCAAGTGGTTGAAGTCCAAATTGGCACAACACGCATATGAAATTGTGATCAAGCTAGCATCATCTGCATATCATTGCTTGCAGAGTGACTTCTTAAGCATGAAGCTCATTGCACGGTTAAGACGGATCCATGCTTGTACATCTCTTCGTGAAATTATTGGGCCTCTCCAATCTCGTTCATTTCAACCTGATTTTGTTCCTAGAGATCCCAACGCCAAGCCCAAAAGATACAAATATCCTGCTTCCTATGATCCTTATGGCCCTAGGGCCCCACCATCAGACAAGATAATTCAGCTTGCTGAACGTATTGCTGCTTTAGCCCCAGAAGAGCGTAGACAAATTGGCCCTACACTCAGGGAGATACTAAGGCATCCTAATTTGAAACAAATTTCAGTAGAAGGCATGGATTTGGGTGCAATGGGAGGAGCAGGTGGTGGACCGGCAAAGGCTGAGGAGAAGAAGGCTGAGAAAACAGCATTTGATGTCAAGTTGGAGAAATTTGATGCAGCTGCAAAAATCAAGGTGATCAAAGAGGTTCGATCCTTCACGAGTCTTGGTTTGAAGGAAGCCAAGGACCTGGTTGAAAAAGTGCCTGCTATACTTAAGCAAGGAGTAACAAAAGAGGAGGCTAATGAAATAATAGAAAAGATCAAAGCTGCTGGAGGAGTTGCAGTTATGGAGTAGTAACCTCTACTGGATTTAGCAGGTTTCCTTGTCCGGCCATCTTTTGTTAATGTAAGGGAACATGCCAATTACCATAGTTTATCTGTGTTAGAATTTCTTGCTTGGATTATGAATTGAAAAATTACCTTTGTTGGGCTAGGGCAGAGTAGGAGCTTCTATGTTTGCATTGAAGCTATTAATAAATATTTTGGAGTCAATTGCGAGTTTACGAGGTTGATGAAAGCAGCGACCCAGGGTAGTTGGTCCTCTGTGAAGTTTGCTTGCTTTTGTAGCTTTAAACCTATGACGCCATATAGGGGTGGTGATCATTAACTTATAATCTGATATTCCGCTAATTTTCAGATAATTTTTCTCTTATACATGTCTGATAACGTTACCTCTTTTTTGGAACCACCACAATGAAGTTGTTTCATTCGCATTTTATGGTAATTCCTCGTACCCTTTTAAGTTCCACCAGTAAGTTCCGAATTTTTTTGCTGTTGTAACCTTTATTTTCTGGTTTCTTTGGGTTTTTTCCCCCCTCTGATCGATTTGTTGATGTGAATGAGATGTAGTATGTAGAATTTATACACTTTGTGTAATGCATTCCGACTTTAGCATTGTATGAGCGAAACCTGCACTGTCTCTCGTGAGAAATTCATGATCAATCAGTTAAACTTTTACTTGAAATTATTTAAATAGATAGTATCTTTGTCTTACCACAGAGTTGGCATAAAAGGATGTCTTCACTGTTTTACTTTCTTTGTATCTGTTTATATTACATTCAGATTGCCTACACAGTCCTAGTGAATAAAAAAGAACTAGGTGCAGTTCTAGCCAAAATAGCGTTGTTTTTGTTTCGGCATGATTAGGAATAGGAAATTTTGTCTAAATAGGAACAGGAGACCTAATTAATTTGATTTTCTAAACCAACTTGAATTTTTATTTGATTCTGCCTAATTATGAATAGGAATGTATTATCCAACTTAGAATAGTGGTCAAACTTAATTTTTTTAATAGTAAAGAAAATCAATATTTCATCAATCCGGAACACGATGTGTAAGTAGCGGCCAAGCGGCTCTGTCCTTTTCAAAGAGATTATCCCTCTCTCTCCATGCTTCTTAAGCCATAAAAAAGAAATCATTCTCGTCATACTCAAACAAGAGGAACCTCTTTGTCTTCGTACACTATTCTGCGTACACTATTCTCCACAGACAATATTTCACAGAATTTGTTGTTGTTGTTGTT